ATGTGTAGTATGTAAATATATTTAATGATTATTCTAGCAGTCATTAGTATTCTTTCATATTGTGCAGGAAGACAGGTGGAGTCTGGTTCTGTTATGCTGTTTTGAAATTGATGTGAAAGGAGATGCCATGTACTACCTCTTGGTTGCAAGTTTCCTCAAATGTCTTTCCACCTTTTGCTAAGTAGAAAAAGCCACACAACTGTAACTTAATAGTTTCTGGTTTTAAAAGCTTGTTACCGTAGCAGCTGTGGGGGATTGTTTTACCAATAAGTATCAAAGATATACAATTTGTTCCATACATAGGGATCTCAGCTTATTTTTGAGGGGGGAAATACTCATCTGCTATAGATTGTCATGTTTCTGAGTCACTCTGTACCACTAAAAATATCTGTCCAGTTGTTCTTCTGTTTAACTTTCAGACTTTTAGAATTCATCAGTATAAGTGTGTTACAGTAATCTTGGCACATTGTAACAATAACTCACTTCTATGGAAGAATTTTTACATAGTAAATTTTTTAATGAATGCTGTCTCCAAAAGTGCCGAAGAAAGGTATGTTCTGTTAGAGCCTTATTTCTCATATCATGAAACAAATACACATTTGACCCAGAATTCAGAAGACTTAGTTCCAAGTCCTTATTTTTGGAATTCACAATTTGTTTACCAAACATGTCTTCCCTGTTTTTAAAATGCTTCAGAGGTCCAAGAAGTAGATTTTACAGTGAATACTATCTTTAAAAAACAAACATGTGCCTGTAGGGAAGTCTTGAACTAATTGCTTAAATTGTACGAATACTCTGCAGTCATTTACGTGTCATCAAATTGTGGCTGTAGTCCAGATTACTCACAAAATGTAGTTTATTTTCCATTAATTGGTACAGGTGTCAGATTGTTGATAATGAGTTGATCCCTTGGTCTTTGCTTCAAAGAATATTTACTTTGTTTCTATTTGCATGTGAACTTGATCATTTGGAAGGAGGTATTCAGTGTTAGGTGCAGAAGTATACCTGTAGTGTTCTACTGTGGGGCTTATAACATCAGTCTGGAGGTAGTTGGTTAGGATTGTATCACCAGGTCTTAACAGTGCTTCTAAGAGACCTAGAAGAGACCAAGACAAAGCTCTGAATGTTGGCTTTCTCCAGGAACCACAGTTCACTCTTGAAGTACACTCTCCACTGATACTGTAGCTCATCTTTCTTCAGAATGCTTGCCAAGAATGATGGCATAAAGTCAATCAGTAGTAACTGAACCTTTAAGCTTCCAGTAGTTGAATCCTTCTGTAGACTCAGTTGAGGCACAATAACTGACTTCTGTAATTCTGTTACAGGGATACACAGATGATAGGCGCTGAGGAAGAACTATGCTTCCTCAGGTAGCGCCTACAGTTAGCTTGATGTTGTAGCATTCATGACTCTCTTAATCTCTGATACTATACAGTATTTTCCTGCCACTTAAAATTTCTGTAATATGGAGATTCCTGTGCTTTTTATACAGGAGTCAGTTAATTGGAGATATTAAGATCCTTATCCCTCACTGATTTTGGCAGTTGGAGAAGGGTCTTCTGCTGTTTCCCATTGATAGGAGTAAGGCTTTACAGACATGCTAGGAGGGAACACATCATACTAGGACAAAGCCCTATGGACATTCAGTAGCTAAGATCAAATTACCGTCTTTGTGCGGTGCTTGTCACATTCATGTATTGGCAACCTAAATTAATTTTCTGGCTTCCACCACCCCACCACCACCACCACCTCCCCCTTAGAATTTAGAGATGCTGCTGGTATCTTCTGTTTTCTACTGAGCTAGCTGTTACAGTATTTCTGGCAACCATTGCCTATTTAATGTTGTATTTATATGGCAAAATGTTAGTTCTAATGTTCTTTGTTAGATAACACTAAAACTCAGTAGACAGGCAGAAAACGTACTGAAGTTATCTCTCCTGTATTTTTGTGTTTGATCAAGGACTATTTCTCTTGCATTAAGTAGAATTCTATAGGTCACTAGCATTTTTGGTTCCTGCTACTTCTGTTCTTAAGCATCAAAAGTCCATTCATCATCCCTGAAACTGTTTACACTTTTCATATTAAATTGGCAGTCCTTTGTATTCTGAAATTCATTTTTCAAAATAGCTAATATTAAGTCAATGAGTAAACTGCATTCCAGCAGAAACTAGCAGAACACACGGCTCTCTTGAAATGTTTTTGTTTGACATAGTTCTAAGGTGTGAGAAGTTATATGGTTGTAAAATAGTTTTTATAGTAAAATTAGCTTGTGTCTTTGAGATGTTGAAGTACTATAGTAGTTTCAGTTCACCTAGTGTAAGAGTTTGTTTCCTATTGAAGTAAAAAATCCACACAGTTTAAATAGATATTTTAAGGATCGAGAATATAATGCTAGTGTTTCAATATACACATGCAGTCCTATATGCAAATCCTTATAAGCTGTTATGCAGAAAATCCAAATAAAACTGTAGAAAGCAGAACAGCAATATGTAGCTCTCACTTTAACAATGTTTAATAACATAGCTAAGATATAATGGGAAAGTGTAGGTCTTGTAAGGCCTTGTTAGACTTCGTGAGTCGCAAATAATTTAAGGAAGTATTGGAACTGTAATTTTGAGGGCCTGGCATGGTACCTCTCTCAGTGGAGCTGCAGTCTACATAAGTGTGTACGCTAAAAGTGGACAGAATACTGTTCATAATATTTCCAGGTGTTTTAAATCAGATAAACTAGAACATCCAGTTTTGTTCTAGAATGTGTGATTTTAGTTGATAGCGTGACTGTTACATGAGATTGTGTTGCAGATCCAGATGATGTAGTTACTGCTGCCTTGATAAGTGAGATACTGTGGATGTGCATAAATAAAAGCTTAATAAATTTCTAGGTCTCATCTTAGAGAACTGTTGGCAATTTTATAAATCAAAAGCTCTTTCTGTTGAAACTACTTGTAATACAGCAATGATAAACAAGCTTCTGTAGTTTGTAGCTTCAGGTAAAGTTCTGGGTTGGTAACTAAAAGTTTGATTCAGATTGGTCCCTATCTACTGTTTGGATTGTAACTTTTTTTAATTTAATTACAGTACTGATGAGTACTTTAAATATGGGTGTAGAAAAATATGAAAATGGATTTGATTAATTTTTGTCATTAAAATATGCTTTTGCAGTCATTAAAACAAACTGTTGTCATTTCTTTCATTATTTTTAGAACATTAAGTTAAATATTTTTGCAGAAAAGCTGGCTCTTCTGCTCAAGTTAACATGTTTAATAAGACTGTGTGCCTGTTACATTCAGAAAATTATTAAAGGAATAAAAAGATTTGGGCGAAGGAAAACAAAAAATTTTGAGTTGCAAAACCAAGGAGCCTTGAGAATGGAACACTGCTACTTTCTTAATGTCTTTAAATTATGGATGAAACAGTTTTAATCAAATCATTCTACAGAAGAAAGAACTAAATGTTGATGTTTTGTTACAGTAATAGTTCTTGGATGTGAAAAAATATTTGACAACTGAAATGGAGAATTTTTTTGATGGAATTTTTTTTGCTTTTTCTGTCAATATCCTATCCCAAGCAAAAACTTTACATTTGCCTTGAGTCATAAAACAAAGGAAGTAAATTTAAAAAGAAGTTCAGAGAGGAACTGTGAAGTTCAAAAGTGTTGCAATTTGGGCTGATTAATATTTAGGGATTTTTTTTTTTTAATGCGTTGTCTTTGAGTCCTGTAGTTGTTCAGTCTCAGGTTTTGGAAAATGTGACTAAATTAGCTTGTGTTTGTAACTTGCCCACTTGTATCTTATTAATGTGTCTGTCCTTTGTTTAAAAACCTTCTGTGTCAGTGATGACTGGTCTATAGCCATTAGTCAATGCTGATCTTAATTTTTTTTTTAATTGGTGCTGTTATACGCTTTTGTAAGCTGCAAACATGGGTGGTTATGACCCCAAGTGGGAAACCTGTTTGATCCAAGTATTATTTTATGTTTTGACTTTGTCAGAGGAACTAAGAGTTAACCCCCCTCTGTTCTGTGTTAGTTGAGTCAGTTTTGGTCCTAGTGAATTCTTTATAAATAGCGATAACTTACTCTTTAGGTAATTGATACAGTTTAAGGTATTTGTATTTCTGATGCTCACTACTCTTTTACCTTGAGAATAGGAATGGAGCTTTAAAGGCTGTGCAGCTTCTATTAGTGAATTTATTCCAGGTAAGCCTGTCAGTTAAAATATTTTGAGTGAACCTTCTCACAGGTGTACTGCCAGTGCTGTTCCTGTCCCAGTAGTGGCCTTATAGGCTGTGAAGAGTGTGAGACGTTCTCCTCAGAATCTTCAGCCAGTTCTAAATCATGGGATTGAGCAGGAGTCATCTGGTATGACTGCAATGCTGCTTAAAAAAATTTTAGTCCTTCTTACCAAGTCCTTCATATACACATTAAAATTTAAAATAAAACACTACTTCCTTTGAAGCTTTTTGAAGTTAATCAGTCGTTAAAGCAGGATTCGTTTTGTTTTTAACATATTAGCCCATATCTTAGTCAGAGAGAGAGGTGTCTTTAAGGAAGTGTTTGCTATGGATCTGACTCTGAATTGCAGATTCAGTAGCTTATGATCTTTCTTGTGTTTCAGTATTCATTAAAAATTGGATGCTCAATTTCCCTGAATTTTTATTTATTATTTTTAGCTTTTTATTTTGACGTTATGCATACACAGACAAGGAAAATTTTCTGTGCATCTCCACTGTTGTAATATTTTTCCTTATGTTTTATGACTTTAATCAACAGGAGGCTCAGATAACTTGAAAAAAAGAACATACTACTGTCAAGTACTGTCTCCTGTTCTTGATCTTTTAAGATAACTGAGGAAGGCAAAGTTTAAACTGTATTATTTTATTAAATGGCTTATGCAGGTCATATTTGGTTTTGGAGAAGAGAAGGCATTCTTGTAAATAGGCTTTGTGTTCCAGTTGGTTTATCGCATATGTTCCGAAAACCGTGTAATCTTTCTAATTCTAGCATGAGAGACTCCTTCAAAAAGGGATGCCAACACCACTTTTATTTGGCACCAACACCATAGACAGAGAGCCTGCCTTGGATATCAGTAATGCTAATAGTGAGCAACTCAGCATAGAGTCAGGAGCAGAGGGACATCAGTTTCAAGCATCAGATGATGTCCTTAAGTTCGGTATGTTTAGTAATGTCACAAGACAGACAAAAATGCTTCCCACACAAATGTTTTCAAACCTCCCATGATGCTGACAACAGGGAACAGAGTGTGTCATGAGCAGGGGACAGGAGCAGCTTTGAGGTGTGGGTAGACAGCAAGGCTTGTCTCACTTTTCTCGTCAAAAGTACTGTGCGGGACTGCTGCTGCCTCTCATGCTGCACTGCTAGAAGACAGTCAGTAGTCCACTGCTGGACCCACACCCCTGTTTGGTGCACTACTCTTTTGCCATCTTTCTATCATTTTTCCATTTCATCAGAATAAAAACTGTAGGGGGATCCTGGGAGCCTTCCATGGAAGTATAGTTCCTTTGGGTTGATTGGTCTATTGTTTGGCTATCTTTGCCTTTTTTAAAAGTCTAAAAACTGTATCAGGCTTCAGTGAATGAGTCACGTACTCTTTCAGTGGGGGTTGCTGTGACTACCACACCTTGGCGAATCAGCATAGTTCAAGGGATCTGTTCTTCTCTGGTACAGGTTCCCAGAGCCTTTGCATTCTGGGTCACTGAAAATGGACTGTTTGGTAGTTAATATCCACTTTGCAACAGGATACTACAGCTGTTGAGGCAGCTCCTTAAGCAGCTCTTGAGTCTAGGAATCTTGCAATCTTGTTCCTCTCCTGAATCATTCAGGTGCTTTGATGCAGTTTTGAACTCCCGTGAGGGATGCTGCTAATTCTTGGTCACTTGTTTTTGTGTATTCTGACATGTGGAATCTTTGGTTTCATTGGTTCAGTCTAGTGGCTTTTGAGTCAAGTCTGCGGTGGCAACTGTTGACCGACTTCCAACTTGGAAGCTTGTAACTACTTAACTAATGTAGGGTTACCCAAAATAAGGATTATTGTGTTTATCCATAGAAGTGTTTCTATGTTGATGTTGGAGTTTGTTTATACTATGAAAAATCCTGTCTTGGTGAGAAGGTTGAAATATGGTTTAAGCCTTGTCATAAAGAGTTCAAAATACAATATTCTGGGCTCATTAAAAATGTAGCTATCTTTAGTTAAATAAATAAATAAGCAACCAGCTGGCAACTGGACTAGTGCTGCAAAAAGCTGTTTTTACTTGCAGCTATCTTAGTCAGGCCATGGCTTTATACAAGTGATTACAGTGGATCTTAAGGACTGTGTGGAGTGAAGCAGCAGGATTCTGAAGGTTGAGGGGACAGTTTACGTGTATGTGTGGTATAGCAACAATTCAAGGATGACCTTTACCGGGAGAAAAAAGAGGGGGGGAAGAAAAATAAAAATAAAAAAAAAAACACAACAGTGTTTGGGAGCAATTTCTGTGTAAGCAGACATGTTAGGAAGCTGAAGAATTCTGCTTATTTAGTATGTTTTCCTAGGTTTTTAATCAAGATGACAACACTGAGGAATTTTGTCATGGTTTCAGCACCTGTGAGCTTGTTTTAAAGACTGTATGTAATCCTAGGCTCTGCACTCAGTGATTTTTAAATTCTTCCCAAGTTAAGTAACTTTAATGTGGATTTCAAAGGGGATATAGTCAGCAGACTTGACATTCCTGGTAAGCTGTTTCAATAAAAGTTAAATCATTTTTCTTGCAGTGGAACAAGAAGAAAACCACGAATGGTTAATGCCTAATTTGCAGTGATTGACTATAGAAAATGTGGACTTTTTTATAAGATGAATATTTTTTCAGTGGGAAAAAAAAAAGTAAAAAACTTTTTAAATTCAAATGTGTGTTACTCTAATCCAAAAAGGTATTATAAATTTCTAGTTTTCTCTAGATGACTTCTAATTTCTCTAGATGCAGTCAAAAAAAAAAAAAATTTTCTAACTGCTCATCCTGGCAGTAACAGGGCCTTAGAGGATCAATCACTGTTCCTTTTTTCCCCATGCATTATCATGGTCTGCATCAGGTGTAATACGGTTACAAGTGACTTGCAGTAGTTAACGTAAGGGTAACGAGAGCCCTTAAAAATTATACTAAATTCTCAGGACTCAATAAAAAATTTACTTGGGAAGCAGTGTTGAAAGTGGCTGTACCAGCTGAAGTCAGCCTGACAGAGGAGAGGAGGATTTCAGTTGTTGAATAGCAGTGAAAAATGGGGAAGAAAGTCTTGTAACTTTATTCATATATAACATTGAAAAAGTCTGATTTGAAATGAGGACTATTTCAGTCTCTGGTTTTGGTATTTATTAAAACCAATTACACTAGTAGACTTTAGCAATGTAGATTCTTACTGATTTTCTTGACAATAAAATTCTTTACTACATATTTTTACCTTATTACAATATGTTCCACTACGTTCATGTTTGGATTTTTTCCCTCTGGAAGAAAGTTCCTGTAGAAAGGAAATAGGAACCAAACTTTGAAATCTAAAATAAGGACTGAACTGCTTTTCATTTACTTTTCTGCCCTTTGAGATGCCAGAAGCAATTTCCTCTTGAAGCTGACTTCCTTTCTGGAAATGATTTTTGTCTCCAACCATGTTGAGGCTCTTTTCTCATTCTTTCACTCTGACTAACTTGCTTTTTTCCCCCTCTGACTTTCTGCTGCAGTTGAGAACTTCTGGAGGTAAGTAACTACAGAGAAGTTTCTCTCTAACTTTCTTTTTCAGTTCTTCCCCCTACCGCCCCCCCTCACCCAGTCAGTCTAGAAGGACAAACAAAGCACTATTGGTGTCCTCTGCAAGAGAGCACTGATAGGGGGCTGGCTGTAAATTGACGTGGCATGGAAAATCTCTGCTAGTTTGCAGCAGCTCTAACGTTGCTGCGAAATCAAGCCTACTCTTGCCAAGTCTGTCGCTTGAAATCATCACAGGCTTACTGTTTCTATATAAAAAAAATGAATGGAAAGTACCTTCACTTCTTGATTTGGGAAGTGGACTTTTTCTCTCTTTGGATTTACAGCTAATAGAAAACAAAATCAAAGGGAATTATTTGGTTACTTTTTTTTTCCTGTAGTGAGAGCAACAGATCTTGCTGCTCCCCCCACCTTTTCCTGGGATTTAATCACTTGCAGATCTTGCCATGGGGTGCGGACTGAGAAAGCTGGAAGACCCAGATGATAGCAGCCCTGGAAAAATCTTTTCTACACTGAAGAGACCACAAGTTGAAACAAAGACAGATTCTGCTTATGAATATGTATTGCTGGATTTTACTTTAGAAGGTATCTTTTTATGTTATCTTTACTATTCTGAGAAAGCAAGGAATAGGATTTAACTTAGTTTTGTCTTGTTCGACTTAGGATGAATCTTAGATACTTTGATAAAAGCTAGCCAAAAATGTCAGACTTTTATTTTGAAACACAAACAATGACGAAGGTCCTCACTTATGTAAAATTACAATGGAAACTACTGGAGTATTTTTAACAAGCAAACCCTGTAAATTACACAGCTGTCCTTGCTAAGGAAGCTGGCTAAAAACTGTTAGATTTTCCTAGTTTCCTGTGAGTCAGATACTGCCATCCGTACTCCCTTTGAATAATGGTGGTCTGAATTCAGTGTGACTGTTCTGAAAATGCACTGTGCCTGAGCTTTAATTGAATAACAGTTTTTAAAAATGCACTCAACTTCTGAAAACAGGCTGTCATTGTCCTTGTTACTTTATGCAGAAGTAAGTCTGTTCCTTAGTTGTATACCAGGAGTAGCTTCCCCTCTTATGCCCACCCCAGTCTCTTGGTAGGTATTTTAGTAAGAATTTTACAGTTTCATCTTACAATTTTTTCCGAAATGCTTTATTTGTAGTTGTTGCATAGTCTTTTGAAATCGTGACTGAAATGAAACAAAATTTGTATGCGTAGCTAGCGGCAGACAGTGCTCTGTGGGATACTTCCTTCCCGAGAGTGTCCTGTCTCTAACAGAGCAACTCCCTGTTCCACAAAGTTGAAAACATAAACAAGCCCAGATGGCTGCCCTCTGAGAACAGATAGCTCAGTTTTGCAGTCAATTTGTAGTAACTTGCATTTTATAACAACCCAATCTACTGGAAATTCCAAATAACAACAATTTTAAGTAAATGCAATGGCTAGAAGGGGTTGATATACGAAGAAATCGTAAGTGCATGTCTTGTTACATTTTCAGGAGCTCTTTCATAAACAAAACTTGGCCTCAGTTTGGTTTTAACAAAACAAAGGACTGTAGTAATTTTATTTAAAATATGTCTGTTCATTGAAAAAACTGCAAGATAATAGAAGCCACATTCTACTAAGTTACAGTACTTGACATCCAACTGTGTTTGTTATTTATTTACTCAAAAAAGAGTTTCTCACTGGGTTGTTTTTTTTGAAGAAGCAAAACTTTGTGTTGATTAAGTAGTAGTGGTAATGTACTGGAAAGAAAGCTAGGCTGCCTGATGCATACATGAATTGTCTGCTAATGTACTGATAATGGAAAGGATAATAAAACTTTTTTTCTGAGACTGAAGAGTATTTAGTGTTCTTAAATAGTCTGTGTTCTGGATAATTTTGCCTGTGCTTTAAAGTAACAAGTTTCTGGAGGTGTTGTGTAAAGGATTTGTTGTAAAGGTGGTTGTGACTTTTAAGAAAAAGCACATCAAACAGGTGCAAATAAAGGTGCATCTCTATTACTTTAATAACTTATCAGTACAGCAGTAAAGATTAGTTTTCTCCTGTTTAGTCTGATATTCAAAAGTGCTTAGCTTCAGTGACTTACTGTGGAACTATGAATGCTAAATAACAGATCAATTTCAGATTGTTGCCTAACTTTTTCAGGTTTCCAACTAACCGAGTGGATTTGTGAACACAGGTATCTTTCTGTTGAATGGTTCTAGCTGTCTGCGTATTTGATGTTGAAATATTTTTTTGTTTGGGGTCTCTTCTTTTTAGACCTAAGATAATGAATACAGGAAAAAATGGTATATATACTGTCTTGGAGTATTTTCTGAATTCTGTTTGCTTATGAAACATGGGGATTGGCTAAAGTGTGGTGGGGAATATGTTGGGCTTTTTTCTTTTTTTTTCTTTTTTTTTTTTCCTTCTTCCTCTATGCCAATCAACTTGCTCACATACTTGTGGCTACTTGAATATCCTTTGACTAAATGAAACCAAAGTGAGAGCCTTTTATCACTTTAGACGAGAGTTAGTTTTCGCTCTGCTGTCAAGTTGTGTTACGTCTTCATGGCACTGTGTCTGCTGACTTCCAGAGCAAGATCTTCCCTAACATCTGAGATTTCTGTTTGCCTGGGTGACTTGATACCACTGGATCTTGCACCAAGTAAAACAGAAAATCTGCCCTTAGTTTACTGCAGCATCTTACAAAAGATATTATGTCCTGCATTAAGATAAAAGTATAGCAAGCATAAATGCATTATTTCAATTTAATATGCCTTATTCTCTGCTTCATTGGATTTATGCTGTGTGAAGTTGAAATGAGCCTGGTGGGGAGACTTTCAGGAGTCCCTGATCTTCTCCCAAGCTGTGATGCACATGAGGTCAACTACACTGTAGTCTAAATTTGCTAGCTGGAATCGCTGCGCATCTTAACTAGTTACCAGCAGTGTATTGTACCTTGGGTTTTCCCCTCCTGGTCCCCAAGATACTCATATCCCTACTGTAAAAATCAGCTTTGAGTTCTGCGGAGGTTCTTCTGTATCAAGAGCATCCGAAACGAGAAAATTACAGCCAGTCTCTCTTATTTTGGTGGGATTTAATAGTATGAAGGAAAGGGAGCAGTGCACTCTGAAGTGTAGTTTTAAATTCCTGTCAAGGATTGTAAATCCTGCAGTCTCGATCATGAGGCATATTTCAGTTACAAAAACAGCTGTTTTTTGAAATCAGTTTAACCATAAAGTAGGGATATTTTAAATATCCTACTCAAGCATTTTCTACGACCCTCCTATTAGGAAAAAGAAGGAATATTGATGCATCCCACTAAGATGACATGCTGTGAAGTTCTTGTAACTCTGCACAACAGTATGAATATTTATGAAATAACTGTTTTGTCGACATCTCCAATACCATGCATCTGAAGTTTACTGTAGAGCTAGCAAGTTAGCTGTAGCTCTGTTATTTGTAGTATTTTGTCTACATGTTGACAGCGCATCCGGAAGTAAATTTTTTTAATGAAAAACGGTTAAGACACTTGCAAAATCAGTGAAGTGATGATCACATTGCATACATTGCTGCTTTTTTGTCTTGTGGGCTGTAGAGCAGTTTCTTCAATACATATTTAATGTCTCCTGGATATAAATCAAGGGATGAAGGCATTACTAAGGGCAAAATACCATCCATCTATGGTGGTTCTATATTAAAGCTCTTCCAGTGGCAAGCAAAGTAGGCCTCCATTCCTTTTTCCTTTTACAAAAAGTTGGTGTTTAAAAGCATTAGAATGTTGTAAAATATTGGTGGTTTTTGATTGTTGTTTTCGTTTTTTTTTTAAAAAAAACGACAACCTCCATAATGTGTGTGTATACATATATACATCAGTATTATTGCCATTTTATAGTGGGGAAAGTAGTGTAGAGATTGATGTTTTCCAGAACACATTACTCAAGAACCAGCAGAATTCTAATTCAGTTTATTAGTTTGCCTAAATCTTTCATTCTAAAGGTTCATATATCTGTTTTGATACAGTAGGGTAGGTAGACTTTGACTTGCTGCGTCTTTGCTAAAGTCCTTAAATTCCTTAC